TTTCATCTTCAGAGATGCCTAAATGAAAAAAGAAGTAAAACTCCGTAGGCACAATATCAATTAATTTGCTGTGTTCTGTACTTACTTCTTGTTCTACCATATGATACCCTTGTGTCACCCAGTAAGGCTACTAAGAAGCTAATCACGTTTTGCTTTGTTTCTACATAATGCATATAAGGAATAGAAATGTAACTTCAAATTCAGGTTCAAATAGCAAGTGACTATTGTGAAAAATTTATACACTCTAAAATGTACCTGTATGCATCATTGATATTGTCTAATTAAACTTGTAGCAAAGAGGTTTTCCAGCCTAAATTAACTCAGGTGTAGCAGTCCATTGTTTACACAAAACTTTATTTTAGTGAGATAAATCATACATCTATCCATGCACGGTAGTACAAAAGGGATATGGCCCTTCTGGGTAAGCATCATTCCTAAGCTAATGTCTCACCTTGACATTTATTTTCCATAAGTAACAAGTTTACCCTTTAGACAGTATTACGGGAACTTTCGTCTTCAGTAAGGTTGCAAGTCATTAACATTATCTCTTCCTTGGGCAATAAAGAACCTTGATTTCTGGATATGAAATAATTTAAGCAAGAATGAACTGAATTATGCACACCTTAATCGCTGCTTTCACAATCACTAAAGAACCAAACTTGACATACATAACTGAAGTGTGTTTTAAATAATGCCTGCTTCCAATATGATGGAGTTCCTTCCAAGCCATATGGTTGTATAATCTTTCCTTTAAAAAACTGCTTTGAGTAAAATTTATCATTTTTTCAAAAGCTATGTGTTGTGGGAATACTACATTTTATTGCCACTTAGACTAACTGAATAAATTAATTTAGATTCATATTCTTATCCCGATGGAAATCTCTATTCTAAATTACATATATGCATATTTATAATATAGCCCCTGATTCTTATGTGTCTATAGCATATATATGTATTTATATGTGTGTGTGAGTTGTATATAGAAGGAGAGATATTTCACTATTCTCATCAGTACAAAATCATATGAATTACAAGTTGATAAAGAAAGATTGTTAGCATCAGTTAAATAGATTAACGAATAGTTATTCAGCAGTGCCAGTTCATTGCCATTCACAAACAAAAATGTTTACTTTACTCATGTAATATGCCTGGATACTATTGCAGGTTTACCTACAACTCCAGCTGCTGGAATGATGAAAAGACATCTTTTAAAGAATTCATGTTTTCCCATGTTTTCTCCCTGAAATTATATTATAAACAAAAAATCTACATATAGGGTTACATAGAAAAAAATATGGGTCTAGTCTTGATATCATATCAACACTATATGATATCAGTATCACATACCTTTACCTTACATAATGAGTCGTTATTATGTAGCCTGCTCAAGCTTTAAACTGCCTGAATTCACAAACCATGTCTGCTGCTACTTACCATAAGCATGTTGTTAAAAAGATTTATTTATGTATGCATACATAACTGGGGTACAGGCCAGAGGTGCAGGGGATGTGATAGGATTCACCAGAGACAGAGTGGGGACTGATGAAGTGCACTGCTGAGGGGAGCAGTGGGCGGGTAAGGAGAGGTCTGCTGTGCCATGTGGGTCACCTCCGGGGCGGGGATCGAAATCATGTTAAAGTGGCTTTTGCATCTTAGTGCTGTGTTTTAATCCACTGCGCCACCAACGAGGGCCGACATAAGGATTTTTAAAAGTCTTTTGCTTGTCTATGTCTTAGTTTTGCTGTGTGTAAATAATGCCTATACTGCCAGATTAATGTGAGGGTCAAATTAAATAATATCTATAGCATGTAGACTTTATAAACATGAACATTTATTATTATAAAAGCTTACTTATTAAAAATTTCTACTACTTACTGAGAATTCATTACATGACAGGCCTTGTTTTAAATGAAATGAGGATTTTACAAATAAGATAAAACATGACACTACAAAGTGGAGTTACTTGCCAACTATTGCATAGCTATTAAAGTATAAAGTTGGATCCAAGTCTAAATAGTTTAGCTCCAAAGTGTTTCTATATGATGAACCATTATACTATTCTGCTAATATACTATAATGTAGCAAAAATAAATATGAAAAAGAAAAATACTATGAATTTTATTACCTGGAGATAGAGATTTGAATATTAGTCCATGTAAGAATTTTAATGGATTTATATATTTACTTAAAATGGCTATATTCTTTCTTACTACTATAACAAAGTGAATTTTTCTTATAATTTATCTAATAATTTTAAATTGTGCTAATTTTTTAATTAGTCAGTACTTAAATATTTTTAAATAAAATCTAGAAACACAATGAGTATGGAAACTTAAAATGTCAAGGGAAGTTATTGAGGCTCCAAAATAACGAAAAAACAAAAGCACAAACAAAATCTCAGAATAAGGGAATTTTAAAACTTTAAAGTACAAAGAAATGCAATAATGAAAAGACCAACTTAGTTTAACTCATAAATAAAATGCCCAGTAGAACTTTAAAAGACATACAAAACATTAGGAAAATATTTTAATCATAAAATGATCAAAAGAACAAAATTAGTATTTTTAATGTGTCTTACACACATATATAAATTGATACTAAAACTGAGACCTGTTAAATAAAAGGGCAAAATACAGTGTCTGTTAATCAGCAAAAGTAAGTACAAATAGTTTAGATTACTGTTAAGAGAACATATTGGCAGCAAAGTGAAAATTCAATTAATAAAATATCACTGCTTTAATGTAGACCTTATTACTGACTTTGAGAATGAAGAAAAACATGAATTTTACTCTAATGGTGTTATTGTAAAAAAGGCAGCACAGATCAGTCACATTTTGAGAAGGGCTTCCCAGGGAACTTAGCGTCATTGTGTACCAGGGTCTGAATGCTCCCGGCCATTCTGATCCACTCACAGTTTTGGACCCTGGACCCATGTTGTATGTGTGGACACACCAATGTCCAAGCCCATTCAGAGTGTGTCTCCCATTAATGAGACTACGAAACAGCAAGATAATCTCTTTCCCTATCCAAAACTTAAGGCATGAATGAGAGATCAGTGATATGACCATAGAGAATCCTTTGCGCTACTTTATGGGGTGTGAAAAGTGAAAGGCATGGGGAAAACAGAATAGTAGAGTCAGAAAGATGGGGCAGATGCCTTTGGGCTTTCTTTTCAGACTCCCTCTGTGGCCTGACTTCCTTGCCTTCTGCGACTTCTAGAAAACCTTCTTGATGTACTTAGAGACTATTATGGAAATATCTATATCCTGCCCTGGCTTGCATTTCATTATACAAATAGTTAAATTTTTAAAAACACTATTAGCAAAATTATGTCTACGATTGAAATTTTAGAACACATTACAAACTACTGGGAAAGGTTATGTGTTTTGTTTTGTATTAATTGTTATGCACTAGGTTTTACATTCTATTTCATTATCTATTATTTGGTTGATACACTAGGCCAAATCATTCCAATGTCTCCAAATAACTGTCACAAAATTATTAGGGACAATTTGTCAAGTGATATTCTCTCTGTCATTTAACTTATTTTTTTTTAAATAGTTAATGCTCAATAAATTTTCTTTTATTTATCTTAGCAAGATTTGTTAAACACATTGAAAAATTATAGTGATTGAGTGAAGTCTGAAAATTGCAAGAATTCTGACAGTGAGATAAATCCTTCTGTAAACTTCTTTAGAGAAGACTAACAAAACTTTGAAGATACAGAATTAAGAATGAAGAGGTGTGTGATTTTTAGAATAAAGTTTTGGAGCAACAGCTAGTGACTTGGGCAAACTTATGTTTTTATACAAAATATCAATTGCTTGTTAACAAATGTTCAAGTTAATAGATTTTTAAATTTTATTATCAACATTAACATCAAATTTATCACAAAGCAAAAAAATTCCAAGTTATCTTGAAATATTCCACACTACAATAAAATTTCAAAACAAGATATAAGCCAATATTAACTCAATAAAAATATTTTAAAAGAATTTCAAAAAAAATCTAGTGAATCTTGGCCTATTCTTATGTCAATAATATATATGCCAATTTTTTGCTGTATTATCTAAGATATTTATGCAGATATTAATAGTGTATGTATTCATTTATTTGTAGGAATCATGATCATTGTAAAATATTGATACTAATATATTTATTATTATTTCAGTTGTTTATAAGGTCTTTTTTTCCTATTCTCACTTAATGTCAATATAGTTTAAATGCAGAGTTACCATGGTTATTGCGTGCTGGCTTATCACTATGATCAAAGTTCTGGAACCACCAAGTTTAGTGGGGATGGTGTGACTCACACCGACATTCTGAGATTCACATGACATGACTGTGGAAAGTAACTAGGACAGTGTCAAAGTCTATTCAGGACTTATGACAGGTTCATTCTTGATAAATACATTGAAATCTAGGAAAAGCTACTCTCAGTCATGTTCTTTTCTATAGAGCTATACTTTTATTCAACATTTTTCTTTTTCTCATTGTATATAGTAACAAATTGTTTTTCTAAACTTACTTTTTGAGTGTTAATCAGGAGTTGACAATGTATTTATTCTCATAGTTAATTTCAATTCTAATATTTATATTTCTTTAAATGTATGTAGTGTATATTAATACTTGCTTTGTCATCGTGCAAATTAAATGAGAAATTATATAAAAAGTCACATATATAAATATGTCATTGAGCTAGTAGCAAAAGATGTCTAGTGTTTTCAGTTCATCGCAGCATTACTTCATTGAGGACACTTTTTGAAGTTCTTGATACCTTCCTAACAGGCCTGAATTGCTGAAGTTGAGTGTAGTGTCAGATTTCTCCATTTCCCTCAATCTATACACCAGAATCAGCTTCCCTTTTGGACATGGATTACGTTTGGGTTAGAGCGCGAAGACAGTCAGATTGATAAAGCAATACCCCTGAGAAAAGGTGATTAACATGTATAAAGGGATTTCCTGGCAGTATAAATACCAGCACGCACCCTTCTGGGGCTTCAGAGCTCTTATGATGTATATATGCAGGGACTGAGATCGGAAAGGGCCTGTGAGACAGTAATAGAATAAAACTCTGATTTGAGGCACAGTAGTTCTCACTTTCCTGCTTTCTTGTGGGAATGAGTTGCCAACCTTTTACTTCTGCCGATACCTTTATACCTCTGAACTCTGAGTCTCCTGCGACTCTGCCTCTGATAATGCATCCCAGCGCTGCCGAGTGCCTGCCGGTCTCCAACCATGCCACCAATGTGATGTCTACAGGTACTTACTCGGGACAGTCTACATGCATTCGGCCTGAGGTTTCAGAATGGATACTTTGAATCGTGTTGGTTTAGAATCTCAGTTTCTTTTATTTTCTCCTGCAGTTAAATATTTTAAGTTAAATATCGGGTATATTTAAAAGGCCAAAATGGGTGCAATTATGAAAGTGTAGAAACTAATTGGTGATTTTATGATAAAGTAAATCTGTTTTTGATAAGGAAACAGTGAATCTGACTGTTTTTAATTCTAAAGCCATTTTAATGGAAAGTTTGTGGGTAAAGAGTAAAACTAAAGAAATTGTCTAAAATGATTTAGTGGTCAAAAGTTACTGCTTTAAGTTCCAGATGTTTGTAGTTTTTGGATTACACTTTTAACATGTCATAGGCCTCCTAGTAAATAAACTAAGTGATTGATTCCCAATACCAAATATCAATTTCAAAGAATAAAATAATTTTTTAAAAATTTTAATAAATTTTCCTAATTCAAAACTCAGAAATCAAAGCTAGAAGCAATATAAAATTTAGAAGCAATATAAAATTTAGAATCCATTAATAAGTTAAATGCGCTCCAAATTGAGTTTGAAGAAACTTCAACTTCTAATCATGTTTTGTATTAGTTTATAAAACTCTCTTCAATGAAAATTAAACTTGAGAACTTAAGTATATTGTCTCCAGCACAATCAAAATCAGTATAGTATGTTGATGTATAAATTCTTTATATAATACAAAGTGTTTTAAAGTTGATTTATAAATGGGCAGGCTTGAATTGAATTAATTTCTTCCATTAAAAAACAAAGTTCTGTTTCCCATTGTTTTAAAATTGCTTGAATTGAATTCATTTCTTCCATTAAAAAGCAATGTTCTATTTCCCATTGTTTTAAAATTGATCTAAATATGAGCTACACATATTTGCAAATCAAAATTCAACTTGATACAGTTATGTTCTGATTTAAAAGATTTAAGCTTTATCTTTTATTATAATGAAGTAGTCCTGAAACATTTATGTATGTTTGGCATTAATTTTCTAATGAATTGATGTGATTCTTAAATATATCTATCTAGAAGTCATGTAGCTGAACATCAGCAAAATCATTACTGTAGTTTTTTGCATATATTCTCATAGTTTAACTAAAAATGTACTAGTGAAAATATCCTCAAAGATATTTTTGAGAAAATAAGATATTTTACTAGAAACATATGTAATAAATAGGAAGTAGGGATAGTATAAGTAGGAAGAGTATTTAGCCAGAATAAAAGTAAAATTTAGAATTGAGGTAATGATTTGGCAAGTTTGGACTCAACACATTATTCAGTTATTTATTTAAATATATGAAACAAAAGAAAATAACATGTTTACTGAATTAGCCCATCCTTTAACTTCCCCAAATCAAAGAAATAAATAGGATTTAAATGTAGAAGTGAAAAATTCATAATATTAAAAACAACCTAAATGTGTATTAAATAATAACAACATTGGTTTTATAATTTTTCTATCGTTACAATAATACATCTAATTGTCTAAGTAAGAAATTAGAAGTACTGGTTATAATGAGAAGAGCATTTGTGTATTAAGTTTCATGTTTATTTAGTTTGAGACTGCAGAGTAAGATTTTTATTATAATTACTATAATGTGAAATCACCAGTTCTTTATGTATGCCATTGTAAAATGAAAATTTATGCAAATACTTCAAAATGTGAAAGATTGGTCTATAGTTAGATAAAATGTTTTACTCTCCACAGAGACCTCATGTCTATAATTACTAGATTATATTTCAATATTTTAAACAGGTCTTATTCCTGAACTTTTTATCTCATATTTATTCTAGAAGATATTATTATGTTTTATATATAAAAATTCACTACTAAGAATATGAAGAAAAAAATAGAAAATTCATATGGGAACATTGGTTAGTGATTTTATTGCTAATATTTAATGTTCTAGTCAACTGTGTAATTCATATTAAAACTTGATAAAGTCTAGTATTTCAGAGTTACTTTCAAAATATGCTTTGAGTCATACTTATGAACAAGGATGCTCTCGCATACTAGGTCCAGGCTTTATAGATATCATGTCATTCACCTATCACCTTGGTTTTGACCAGTTTTATTAGAATTGTTGAATGAGTTGTGTGTATTCAGGAAACCAATATCCTCATGGTTTCAACATTAGCGTACATAATCATACATAATCATATATTATCATGGGTTTTATAAAAACCACTTAATTTGGTGTGGATTTTGTCATTGCATCCAATAAGAGGCTTGTTGCTCTGCTATATCCTCTTTGATGGAAGACATTTATTAAAATAAGCAAGAATATGCTGTTCATGATTTGATTTCTATATCCATTCTCAGAAAATATTACTTTATGATGTCATACAATGCAATAATTTTAAGAGACTACTCTAGTTAGTTTGTCACGAAGTCCATGTAGTTAGCACCTACAAAAATATTGCAACTCAAAATCAGTCAAAGTGGAAACTTCTCAGTTCCCCCTTCACAACACAGAATAAGTAATGAAGGTTATCTTACACCTTGATGGCTCACATATGACCATATTTATTATTTGTGACAAACTTTGTCTCTCAGGCTTAATGAACTGATCAGGGAATGTCACCCAAATGAGAATAAATTATTGGCATATAACTTTAAGAATTCATAAATGTATATTTTTGTAATGAAATGAATGTGTCTTGAATCCTCATACATTTTCTTACCAGTCCCGTCTGTTTTGTCTTTGATCCAAACTCCTAATTGCTTGTGCACATATTTCTGGGTGACAACACTGGGAAACACAGCGACTGGACTTCATTATTCTGTCCCTTCCTGTCATTATGGAAATCAGGCATCAACCTATGGAGTGATGGCAGGTAAGAAAAATTAGATAGATGAAATTAAGTTTGGGGACCCTGAGATGCATTTCTTGAGTTAGAGGGAATCTCTTCCAGAGTATATGGTTGAAATTCTGACCATTTACCTTGGAAATTGCTGGTAAAACCATCACTTAGTCAAATGTTCCCTGATCTGTCACACCTTCGGAAGCCATAATGGTTTTATGTAGTTGTCCCTATTTTACAAACTCTGGACTTCTGTATTTCTTGACTCTTGTGTTTCAATCTAAATGATAAGTTTTTTCACTACACTACAGTCACTACAGTGACTACAGTCAAATTGCTCATTGTCACTTGCTGATATTTTGTGCACTTGCTTCCAGTAGTAATATGGTAACCACTAGCCTCAGTTGACAATGTAAATGTAAATGTAAACGTCAATTAACAAAAATAAGCTCAAAATTAATATTCAGCTCCTAAATTGCACTAGCCAGATTTCCAGAGTTCAATCACCTCTTGTGTCTGTCTACAAAGTAATAGCACAGATTACTAGAACATCTTCTTGTTGAAGTATTTCTTCTGCACACATTGTGCATAAAAGTAAATAAGGCATTGAAAGTTTAATGCGATATTTGAGGTTGTTTGAATATTTGGCAGCCCTGTCTACATTGCTTCTAAGTCTTTAAAGTGATTGAAATAGTTAAGTCACAGACATTTCTCCTCTGCAGAATACCATTTTACTAGTTACAGACTCAACTGCTGAATTATTATTGATGCCTATATATATAGGTATTGATAACACAGTTGTTGTGGTTGTTGTTTTTCTATATACAAAATGGAGGTACATGTCAATAGTGCAGGGGTGGTGAGAGGATTCACCTGAGACAGAGTAGGGAGCAGAACAGGTAGATCAAGATTTTTTCAACTTAAAACTAAATAGGACATTAAACCTTTGAAAATAAATACTCTAGAATAAATTAATTCTCTTACATCTATAACAACATCCTGAATAAAGTAGAATCCTCATTTTTATGACAAAAAATGAAGACTGCCATTATTACTGGATACCTGTGACCCTAATAGCTCTTCTTGATCATTAAAAAATAAGGAAAACTATCCTTTTTCTTCCTTTTTCAAAACTGATCATTTATGATTCATCAGCTTAGGAGTTAATCAGTATTCATAGTTAATGAGAACAGTACTCGTAGATGATGAAGTACTTTCATTATAAAGAAGTAAAATGATGTGCATTTAGCCACGAGAGGTGCAGGCGGTACACTGCTCGTGACCTCTGCATTTTGACTGCAGAAACAATTGCATGGCTGCTTCTGCTCCCTCAGAGAAGAGACCTTGCTTATTTATAGCCAGGGCCACCGCACAGATCTTTAAATGCCTTCTAACCAGCAGTGGTGTGTTGAGATTAACCCAAAGAACAAGTCAGCTTCAGACCAAGTACTTTAAGATGGATCTTGCTACCTCTTCCCCACAGTCAAATCAGTTCACCTGTCAAATCATTTCTCTGCTGGCTTGAGATGTCTCAAATCCTTCAGTTTCCAGAATAAGAGCAAACAACCCCTCTTTTATGGTGAGTGTTCACTAGAAATCAGCTGTTCTGTCTAATTCCCTAGGCAGACACTCAACAACAGACTCTTTCTTGTAGTTAAGAGCAGAAATCCCTGGAAAAACCCTTTAAAATGATCAAAAGTGTAGGTTAGTGACAGCAAGAGCAAAATGGTTAAGATTTACCAGTATTTTAGAACAAGTTTTTTTGGTCACTAAAAGAAAAATTCCCAGTGAGAAGCATAGAGATTATAGTTTAATATTTTAGAGAGCAATAGAATTAAAATGTGCTATGCTTTATAGCTTGTTAGAATGTTATTTTGACAAGTAGTTGGTATTAATATTTGCATCCTAGCAGATTAAACCTCAGAGCATCTGAACTCTCCTGCCATCATCTCCAGAGAAAGTACAAGTTGAGTATAAAACACGGATTCACAAATAAGAGAAAAGTACAGAATACACAGAGAAACATGATTGTGCTAGTTGAATATTCTGAGAAGTCTTGAAATTTTCAGTGAATCAGTCACTGCCACACAAGCTGCAGAAGCATCTTAGTACCAACAATGAGACAGGCTCGTGGTCACAAGCACCATATAAAAGTAAAGTCTGCATAAAGAACCTTTTTTTGAAGGATGTGAAATTATTTTATTTAAGTGTGGTTCTCATGTGCTCCTTAACTCTGATGCTTACATTCAGTTTGTGTATTCCGTAGAACTAATCAATCACTGGAAGAAAAGAGCTACACCTAATGTTTTGTTAAGGTTGGTAGGGAGGACTTTCAACATCAGGTAAATCACTGTGCCTCATCATTTAGGTGGGAATGGCTAATTGGGAGCAATGAACTCGCCACACCATTTGCTAATTATAAAGATTGTTTGAGTCATTTAACATCTCTGATTTCAGTCTCTTCATACCCATGCTAAAGTGGGTACTACCAACTCTCAACCAGCACAACCTGGTCATCTCTTTTGATCTTCTCTTTAGAAACACTTGCAGCTAAATTGTTTCTTCATCAAACCTGAGTATTTAAATATTTCAACGAATCTAAAACACAGATCATAAAAACCAGGATAGTCTTGTTCCGTATCTTCTAGACAGACATACACACACACAAGCAAAACAACAACAAAAAATCCTCACAACTCTGATTCTTGTGATTCTGAGATACTTTTTGTTGTCCAGTTTCTACAGTTGGGTGAAAATTAGAAATAAGCTCTGTTCTTTCCATCTTGTTCACCGTCCTGTGGAAATGGAGCAAATCAACAACATGGTATTAATAAATGTTACACTCAGTAAGGTCTATGACAGATGACAAGACCAAGTTTGCTTTAAAAATTAATTTCAAGAGGAAAACAAAATTGTTTATGTTTGAGAATTAACCACGAAGATGAATGTCCTTTCTTTTATGAGAGGTGAGTAATAAGAGAAAAGATTATAGTCAAAAGTGTCCTCTCCATCTAGGTTAATGCAAAGGCAAGAAAAATCAATTTGGATGTTGACATAGAGAAATGATCTACTTTAGAGACATTCTGTTGTTCCTTTGCTTTTTGTTCTTTCTCCAGCTTTGTTTTATTTTCTTTTTACTTGCTCTGGTTGTGCTGATTCTCCAGGAAGGAATAATTTTGAATCATGAAAAGTCTTTCAGCAGTAGTAAGATGATGTATTTCCCTAGGTTTTCTCATTTGTCTCAGCTACTCAGCTCAGCCATTATAGCAACAAAGCAAAAGTATTGATAGACAATATGTAAACATGCACAGCTACCTTCAAATACACTTACATTACAAAACCAGGCAGAGAGCCTCTGTTGCACGTCAATAGGATCTATCACTGCTCAAAGCAGAAAGATCTCAATTCAAATTTATGATTTACTTCACCAGTGGGAACAATAATGAAAACAAAGAGAAATATTCAAATACACACTCTAATGCATATCTGTAGCACATTGGTACACTTTGACTGTGTTCCTCTGCTGCCCTGATTGGTCGAAGACTTCAAACCTGTAACCTCAGAGGTGTTAACCTCTAGCAGCTGGCAGAGTCACAGCTGCAATGGGGCCAATTGCCCCAGCATGGGACTTGGAGTCAGAGCCATCCAGGTGAGGCAAGACAGACCTGGCCTCCCCGCCGCCGTCTGCTTTAAAAGACTTACCTCCGTTTCCTGCATCTCCCCACAATACAAACACATACAGTGCAATTCAGAGGAGCAGAATCAGTCATCTGCAGTGTGCAAATATTTTTTGAGCTGTCAAGTATGTACAGACATTTCTCAATGTTATTTAGACATTAGCTGCATAGACGATTTTATCTTAACAGTGTTTTAGAAATTGTTTGAAACCTCTGCAGCACATGACGAAGCACATCTTTTATCTTCTCCCCCATCCCCCACCCGCAACCTTTTTCTTTTCCAATAATCCAGATTCTAGAATGATTAAAAAAAAAAAAAGTTGCCATAGATAGCCAACCCTCCCCCAAATACAATACCAGAAACTCGGTTAGACTGTGCCTGTTAGTGTCATGAAGTTCTGTTTAAGGTTAGCTCCAGGAAACCTATGTCCTGCAGGTAATTGTGGATGCTCTCACTCCATGAAAAATGGAAACATAATCACACATTAGGTTTTCCTTTCTTGCTTTGGATGCCAAACCTTTGAACATTTTACATCCTGTGTTCCTTTTGTGGACTCATTTTCAAATTTATTTTCTAACTGTTCATCTTTCCAGAGCCTTGGAGTGTATAAATTACCATTAACATGCTAGAAATAGAGACGGTGTACTCCTAATATTTAAAAAGTAATTTTATTTTTTTTCTGAAAAGATTCATTTAAAGTAGTAAATATCTATAAACTCTAGCAGAAGCACCCAAAAGGAAGCTGTTTGATTTCTGAGTACAGGTTGCCTGGAAAATGAGGTGAGTAATTTTGATGCAGTTTGTTGTGCTGCTGGTTGAACTTGAGTTCTAGTTTCAGCAACATAGCTAATCAATATAGTTAAGCAACAATATAATTAATTCATGGCCCCCAGGAAAGTTATTTAACTCCTTTATATAAATTTCCTAAATTTTAGATAGAGGGCAAAAAGTACATTCTGTTCCCACCTCATTTATTTTTATATGGACAAGAAGATGGCAAATACAGAGAAGCACAGAGTGTGGTGTCGATTAGTAGCAGGGTGTGGCCATGGATGGCAAGAAAAACCACAGATGGTGATCAGATGGCTAACAACTTTACTTTATGCTCTTATAGAGGATGCACTGCAAATTATTTAGCTCCTCAGAGTATTTTATCATTACGTGTTTTAAATGGTACTTGGTATTTTTGAATGATGAAATAAGTCAAAAAATATATATATATATATATATATATAATATATTATATATTATATAAAATATATATAAATATATAATATATATTAGAAACTTACATGAAAAAAATCTTGAGATCAATATTAAACAGATGCTAAGATAAATGTGATTTTCTCTTTATATACATTGGCCATTTACTTCAATCACTAGAAACCTGAAACTAACAGAAAATTAAAAACGAACCCATTGCTTGGTGGTGGGTATGGTGTGGTAACACACATCTGAAGAAAAGTAAGCTTATATCCTTACAGGTATTAGTGTTGGGAAAATTAAACAATTTTTAAAATAACCCCTAAGCAACATTTGAAAAATGAATTATTGATACATTTTTTATTCCTGTCTATCCTATTAAAATAACTCACAATAAAGCATAAGGTGGGTGATTAACTGACTTTAGTAAGTCTGTGTAATTTGGGATTACAAAAGTAACAGAGTTTTCTAAACAGAAATATATTATTTAAATATTTGACACATTCAGGAAGCAGGCAAATTTATCTTATGCTGTACTATTTAATCTCTTCCTTGCAAATTTATTTTGCTTCAGAAAAATAATGTAATCTCTTGATGAGGCATACTTTATAATTACATATTTTCATATAAATAATATAAAGCCAACTATGTGCTGACTTACTCTTTGCTCATTACATATTGATATATTAATGTAAGATTTATATATTCTGGCAAAATACATTACTACTCATGTCTTTGATTTGCAAATATATTTATGGATGAATTGTATGTAGGTAAGATAAATTCTTGATGGATATTTTTCAATAAGCTTCCAAGAATGATTATTGCACATATTTTGTAGTAATTTACTTTTACTTTAAATATTTACTTAGGTTCATAAGAAATATAATTAATGAATGAATATTTTATTTACACAAAATATCTTGCCTATACATGAGTTATTTAATATAAATTGAAATGAAACCTCTATGTGAAATTATAATATATTGATAAAGAAAACAAGCAAAATGTACAGAATTTTGCCTTAAGTACTCATTTTCTTCAACTGACTAAAACAAACTTTTTCCAAATGAGGAATAACTTCTGGAAGCAATTTTTTTTAAATAAATAATATAATAGTTTATTTTTACATGATTTTGTGCATTTTTCCACCTCAGTTGTAATCCCCGTGGGCTTCCCATCACCAAATCACCCCTGTGCCATCACCATAGTCCAGTGCACTTCCCTCCCCACCCCCATAAAATGTCTCTGGTATATAGCTGTTCATTATTATTGTTATTTTCTTTCCTGGTCCCTTATACATCTGCTATGAGTGAAATCATCCAGTATTTTTCCTTTTCTTTTTGGCTTATTTCACTAAGCATGATCTTTTTCTGGAAGCAATTTTTTAAAAAATATTAAATTTTTAAGTTTTTTGAGAATTAGTATTTAATTTGCTCAACTCAATGTTCCTTATTATGCATGCTGTCTGTCCTATCTAGTTCTGGTGATGGGCAACTATGTGACCACACCTAAGCGAGGCATCCTATGTTGTCCAGAAATTAACAATGATATAAGAAAAAAGTACTAAAAAGTAAAAAAAAAATTGTTTTCATTGACATTAGAAACATGTCTTGGCCCTCCCTGGTGGCGCAGAGGGTTAAAGCACTGCACTGAGAAGCTAAAGTCACTTCTGCATGAGTTTGATTCCCGCCTGCCCGGGAGGTGACCACATGGCGCGGCAGATCTCTCCTGACCTGCCCGCTGCTCCCCTCAGCAGTGTACTTCGTCGATCTGCCTGTTCTGCTCCCCACTTTGGTGAAGCCTCTCGCTGCCCCTGAGCCTCTGGCCTATACCCCAGTTCTGTATGCATAAATCTTTAAAAAAAAAAGTCTTATAAATGTGGAAATTATACTGCATTCTTAAGAAAACAAATATAACCACACTGGTGTTGGCCACTTATTTTTGTTTCTTAAATATTAAGAAGCAATTCCATTATATTGTATGCTTTTCAAAAGCTCATATTGTTGACTTTTTAATAGAACTTTTTACTTTTTGCTTATCTATTCACTCCTTAAATCTATTTAAATATGTCAGTGTATTTTGTGTTCTCATAATTCTCTTTTTATCAACTTTTGTGAATTTAAAAAGATAAGACTATTTCCCTTTGAAGTTAAGCATTTATTGTTAAGAAATTGGTATGTCATAACAGTATGATCATAAGAAAATGTGCCAGCCAATACTTAATCTTGTGCTTTGAGTATAAAAACAACAGGTACTTTGTTCAATGAATTAAGAAAACAGAAATCAAAACATGCTTAGAGTTGAACCTCATCGTCCTAGGATTAAGTTGTCCTTTAAGAGAAGAACTGATGGAAAACTTACAGTTCTAAGATAATTTGCTTATTTTTATTTTAATTACATGCAATTGGATCTTTTAACAATACAGTTGAGTTTTCTCTCTAGTTCATATCAAAATATTTCTGTCATCATATATTTTGTGCATTATGTTTTAATATAAAATAGATTTGTGAGCACAACTTTTAAACATTGAATAATGACTGTGTTAATTTGCTCTTAGCGCTCTGAGAAAGGGGGAAAATAAATAATCACATTTGACCTAAGGGGTTCTGACTTCTGCTTCTGAAATCTGAATGATAAGTAACCTTTAAGAATTGAGAGTGCTTGTAACAGGCAAGAGTCTGGTAGAAAGTCGGATAATGACAAACGACCCTTGCCCTTTCCTACTTGTTTATTCACAGGGAGCTTAGCCCCATGTCTTTACAAGTTTCCGGACCACAGCTTGAGCCACGGCTTTCCTCCCATCCACCAGCCTCTCCTGGCAGACGACCCCACCGCTGCCGATTTCAAGCAGGAACTCAGACGGAAAAGTAAATTGGTCGAGGAACCAATCGACATGGATTCTCCGGAAATCCGGGAACTTGAAAAGTTTGCCAATGAATTTAAAGTGAGAAGAATTAAGTTAGGTATGCAGGGGACACATAACGCGGTCTGTTAAGTCTCTCATATTTGCTCAAAATATGCTCCAAGTCAGTGTTCACAGAGGCGTACTGCTGTGGTGTAAAGGTAGTATCTATCATGAAAATCCGACAAAGATCTTTGTTTCCTCGATAATTGTAATAAGCTAACTACACAGAATTTTAAATTAATTAGTGGCAGTCCGTTTTGAAGCTGAGGCTTGAACTGACTGTTTGTATATGTTATTTTATAGACACAGATTGGACAGACAGATGGGAATTAGGCACATTTGAATGGATGATGCATCATCTGAATCAAAGTCATACAAGGGTGTGGTGAAATGTATGCCTTTGGGTTCACCAGTGGCACTAGTTTCTTGTGTATCTTTCCAGAGAAACATCACGTTTACACAAACATACATATATTATCCCCACACAGATTTTTTTTTTCTTTCACTTAACTATGTTGGAGAGTTTTCACTGTTTATTTTTGGAGAATTTTTTTAAATTATGTTTCAGGAATGTACTATAATGTATTTAAACAGATCCTTATGGGTGGAATTTAGGCATGTTCAACTTTCAATTGTTAACAATGCTGCAATGACAAACTCTAGAAGTGTCACTTTGGACCTGTATGCATGTATGTATAGGGAAAGTGATTAATGCAAAGTTGCTTGATTACAGAGTATGTATTCATGTAATTTTGAGAGATGTTATCAAACTGGATTTTATGAAAACTGTACTAAATTTTCCCAGCTCCATGAGTTCTTTCTTTTGCTATGTCTTGGAATATGAGCTTCATGAGGACAGCAGTTTTTGTTTGTTTTTAGTTTTGTTTCCCTTTAATAGCTTATCCTCAGCCATTGCAACAGTGACTGGTGACTGGCACATAAAATAAGTAAATGCTCTTTTTTTTAAAGGAAAAATGTGTCATTAATCTGGAAACTTGTACATCAGATAGGTCAAAGGGGTACCTCATGGCAGATTCATTTTAAATTTCTCGTATTACAAGTTAAGAGTGAAGAAACATTCTTTCGTGTAGTCAGCATTCATTTGTAATTCCTTTCCTGGAATTGTCTGTTCATAGCCTTTACTCACTTTATTTTGAAAAGTGCTTTAACATGAAAAACTGTTACAATTAACCTTAATTTAAATTCATGAAATAGTCATTTTTTTGTAATGGAAAAGATTGAAATGATAGTTCAAATCTTTGCACTTGTGAAATGAACTACAGGTACTTTTATGATATTTGTTGATGGACATCATATGAAATCATTTTATGCAGACAGATATATAGCCACAGGCCCTAAATGAACATGTAGTTACTTTATATAATAAACACAACGTAGGATTCTTTATGGCAGTCATTTTGTTTGCCATTTATACTGCTATGAATGTTTGAAATTCTATGCTGATGGTTTACATGAACTTGTACTCTAAAAGTGTTTGGACAATCAATGAGTGTGTTTTGCCTGGAGAAAGCAGCATTACTAAATGCTGTCATAAATGTACTTTGGGGGTGTACCTACATATCAAGGTATAAATGTGCTTGGAAGTGTGATCATAGTTTCCAGATGAACATGTTTTAGGAAAAGTAAGTATAACTCTTAGTTTTATTTGGTATCTTTTAACAATACAGTTGAATTTTCTCTCTAGCTCAGATCAAAATATTTGTCATCGTATATTTTGTGCATTATATTTTAATATAAAATAGATTTGTTAGCACAATTTATTAAACATTTAATAATGATAAAAAGAGGACGGATCTTACAAAATCCTGGCATACAATTATCCAGTTAGGCTAAATTGCATGAAAAGCTGCTGTTTCTATATGAATTTTTCTGGCCCTAGGAAAAAATTATTAATCAATGAAAAGGGATATTTCTGGAAGTAATGGACAAGTCTAAACTGAACCTTACTAAGAAAGTCTAAATTGCTAACATATTTCTGCTTAAAAGCAATATCTAGTTAACAAATATACAAAGATCTGTTGAGGCCAAAATGTATGTTTCTTGAAAAACTGAAATTAAAAGTCTTTATTGTCTTTTTACAGGATATACCCAGACAAATGTTGGGGAAGCCTTGGCAGCTGTGCATGGCTCTGAATTCAGCCAAACAACTATCTGCAGGTTTGAAAACCTACAGCTCAGCTTTAAAAATGCATGCAAACTAAAAGCAATATTATCCAAATGGCTGGAGGAAGCAGAGCAAGTCGGAGGTATTGAAGCTATATTTTTTTTTTTTTAAGATTTATTTATTTATTCATACAGAACTGGGGTACAGGCCAGAGATGCGGAGGGTGAGAGGCTTCACCAGAGACAGAGTGGAGAGCAGAACAGGCAGATAGACCGAAGTACACTGCTGAGGGGAGCAGCGGGCGGGTCAGGAGAGGTCTGCCACGCCATGTGGATCTCCTCCAGGGCAGGCGGGGATCGAACTCATGCGGAAGTAGCTTTTGATTCTTAGTACAGTGCTTTAACCCACTGCGCCACCAGGGAGGGCCTGAAGCTATATTTTTAAAGGCTTTGTGGTGTTACAACTTAAAAGCAGTGGTTTTGGTTGAAAGTATTAATACTAAGGTGAGAGGCTTGAGGTTCTATGTGTTTGCTTTTCCCCTTTGGGATAAAAAATAAATACCCAGTTTCATTACACTTAATTAAAAGAAGAAAAAAAAAAAAAAGCAAGGCCGTAGATAGCAAGTGTATAGAAGTACATTTACTGAGGAAAATACTAAGAGAATAAGGTATATATATAAAGAAAACTTCATGGATAACGTGAACTGAACATGAATTGATCAAATGATTTTTTTAAAACACAGATTTTTTGCTTCTGTGCTATGTGGTAGAAATTATACCTGTATCATGTTTTTTTTTTTTTTTTTTTTTAAGATTTATTTATTTGTGCATACAGAACTGGGGTACAGGCCAGAGGCTCAGGGGTGGCGAGAGGCTTCACCACCAGAGACAGAGTGGGAAGCAGAACAGGCAGATAGACGAAGTACACTGCTGAGGGGAGCAGCGGGCGGGTCAGGAGAGGTCTGCCACGCCATGTGGTCACTTCCAGGGCAGGCGGGAATCGAACTCATGCGGAAGTGGCTTTAGCTTCTCAGTGCAGTGCTTTAACCCGCTGCGCCATCAGGGAGGGCCTCTGCATCATGTTTTATAACCTAATCTTAGTGTAACAAAAGTACTTGCACATACCAGTCGTTCAAGTAAATATCGCAAGCAGTTGCTAAATGGGAAATTTAACATGATAAACTATTTGACTCATAGCAGTATTAGGACTGATCAAGGCTTGAGCTCATTCAGAAAAAGTGTTCAAACAACAAAATTAAGATAGGGTATTATTTATAGATAATTATATTTGCAAAGTTGGTCTATTCCTGCATAATACTTTTATCTAAGGCTTATAATACAGAATACCCTATTCTCCACAATTTTAAAAAAAGTATTTCATTTTTCTTTATTTTGTATATAAAACATAAAACCTACATCTGAATTATTTATATATTTTTTTATGATTACCCCTCTATGTCCCACTGTAGCTTTATACAATGAGAAAGTGGGAGCAAATGAAAGGAAAAGGAAACGGAGAACAACTATAAGGTATGTCCTTTTTTAAATTGAAGTAACACTGGCCTACAACACTGTATATATGATGCAGAGGAACAGGCTCACACCAGAGGAAGAAATAAACATTATAAAATGGAGTCAGCCCTGGAGTAACATAACAGAATAAAGTGAACAGAAGCTATTCAAAAAACAAGACTGGTGAAAGAAGCATAATTTAATAGGTTAATGGTGAAAAATGGAGAGTCACTAATTTTCAACTTAAAATGGAAAAACTTATGTACTGTTTAAATTAGGAAGTTTTGGTCCATAAGTTTTGGATAAAATCAGAAACTGAACAAACACTTCTAAAAGGGTGACAACTTTTTCTGTCTACTTAGCTATATCTTGCTCTAGCATTATGGAACTTATGTTACTAAAAATAACAAAACTAATAATCAATATTTTATTCTTAAAAGTCTATGGTGAATCCTGGCATTTCACGGCAGGATTATTCATTGATATTTTTGTAGCTTTTATGAGATTGACAGAGAAAATACTAAACTATGGGTTTTTGTTTTGGTTTAGTTGTTCATTAAACATTCTTTATTGTGAATAACCTAGATGACTCTGGGGAGACATTTAGAAAAAATCCACAAGTGTTTATTTCCAATTTAACTATTCAGCCAGTGCCCTCTTGTGGCACAAAGTGGAATAAGCTCAGAAACCCTGGGTCCCCCACTTAGTGACCCTGCGTAGGTACTTTGCATAAGACAACGGCTAAATGGTTGACAGATCATTCATTTATCATTGTTTATGGGATTTCAGAGTGTTTTCAGGGTCTGTAAGTTATAATCTTCTCATGTTAATATTTAGAAAATTTAACTGGGCTTAATTCATCTGCCAAAAACATCAGTAAATACACCATTCTTTCCCCGTTCTCCCTTCCCAGTATTGCTGCTAAAGATGCTCTGGAGAGACACTTCGGAGAGCAGAATAAACCTTCCTCTCAGGAGATCATGCGGATGGCTGAAGAACTGAATCTTGAGAAAGAAGTAGTAAGAGTTTGGTTTTGCAACCGAAGGCAGAGAGAAAAGCGGGTGAAAACAAGCCTCAGTCAGAGTTTGTTCACTATTTCTAAGGAGCATCTTGAATGTAGATAAGACTTCCTACAGTATAATGGCCAGGTTTTCTAGTTTTCATTCCTTTCTCTTTTCCAAAATAGAAATGAGTTATAAGGTTGCCTTCAAAAATCATATCAATAACTTTTGGAGAAGCTTGCCTTTTGTGCTTTTAAAAAAGTACACAACTTAATATTGACATTTCCCTTGAAATACTTATTCTCAGAAGTCGATTGTACATTTTAAGCCAAAGATATTAATAGGAATAAAATAGTCTCTACCCCCAATTTACTCTCTATTCACATATGTGCACATGGTTCTTTTCAAAGAATGTCTATTCAATCTTTCAGTCAGTAATGTCACAAGGTAGTCTGTTACCAGAAAATACCCAGCTAGAAGATTCACTATCTTGCTTTCCTCCCACTGTAATAGTTTGCTTGAACTAATAGTTTTGAATTTAAAAGCCAGAGGCATCTTGGAATTTTATTGTTGTATTTAGAAATAAATCTTAATCAGAAGTGACACCTTTGAAACTATTGTTGAGGACACAGCTCCCAAAGTAGTAGCCCAAGTGAGTGAGTTTGTAGAAACATCATCTTTTCATTGCTTCTCTGATGTTTTGCTATAGATAATATGATTTATGTGTTCTTGAGTTCCAATCTGCTATTCTGCAAACTACAATAGTGCAGGGAAGATGTCTGACTTGTTTGCTGCTGTTTCTCCAGAACCTGGGAAGAATAGTTGCTCATAGCAGGTATGCAATCTTTGTTAAATGGACAAAGGAGAGTGTTGTTCACAATGGGTACACATTTGAAGGTGCCTAATTTAATAATTTCAGAAAGTAATTTAATTTCTTCTTGAAATCTCACAATCTAGATCTCAGGTCCTATCACAAAAGACCATAACTTTTGATGTGATTGGTTAGAATTATTTATATTAATTTAAAAGTTTAATGTATTGAGCATTTCAATTCAGGAAATTGTATCTCAAAAAACATTTGTTTCATTGACAAGACTGCACTTCATTGGAACTTGCAAGTAAAAGTGTGCTGTTATGTGATATCAATCTAAAATAGTGACTTTTTGCATTTTAAGTGTTAATCTGCAGGCATAACAGGCATCTATACGTTCAGACACAAATTTTAAACTTGCAAGCAGAAATAAAATATAATGCACTATAAGTTAGAATAGTGACTTTTGCACTTAAATATGAATCTGCTGGGAATATTTCATTTAACTTAATATAGTTTAATTTATATGATACTGGAAACAATTCAACAAAAGTTTTATCATTAATTTAGAATGTTGCTAAATATAGTTTTTGCTTTTTTTGTGGTATTTATTAATAAAGATCAAACATTGTACATGGCATAATCTATGTTTGGGCACACAATCTCCAACTGAAATAGTTATAACTGGTAGACTAGCCAAAAACGGTAGTTTTCTGTGGCCTGATCATCTATGCTTAAGTATGTATCTATCACCCAGTGTTACACATACAAGTCATAAACACCTATTGGTGTTATTCAAATGTAAATTACAAAACATTCCATCATATACATGTGTAAACTGCTTAAAATGTCTACTAATCAGGGGAAGAGATGCTTTAATGTGCAAAAGGTATTAGATGTACATACATCTATACATATACACATATTTTAAACTTTGCAAACAAACAAGATATAATGCAATATAAATCTAAAATAGTAACTTTTGCACTTAAACATGAATCTGCTGGGAAGATGTGTTTTGTTGTACGTCAAGAAGCACACATTTAGATAATGATATATGTCTAGCTTATGTTATCAGAGTCTTTCATATAGGTCATTCTTTTCAAGTTGAGATTTAACTAGCATTGGAAACCAATTTTTCTCCCCAAAGTCCAAAATTATTATGAATTACAACTTACCATTGAAACAGCAATTCTTAATTTAGCTATTCATAAGTTAATTACAAGTATACTTGTTAACTAATTTTAATAAGTATGAGACTATTTTCTAAGCTTAATGAGGTATTTTAATATCTTAATAAATTGGTTAGATTCTTAAACTGCAGTTAAACAAATGAGAATGCAATTTGTGCAGTATAAATGTGTTCATACTTTTGAGAATAGATGTCAAGAGCTGAATTTAGCTGTGATCTTCTCCTCTTAAGTTTTCAGGAGTTCTTCAGTAGTAAATCTTCAGAAATTCAGTAGTCTATTAACATGAGTATTTGTTTGTCACATGAATGTAACACTGATTGTTACATTCAATTTTACCTGGTAGAAGTGGTTGACACACTATTCATAAAACTTACCTTCCATCTTCAGTGGTGGAAAAAAATTTAGTTAAATATTTTCACTCTTCGGGGCTCGGAAAGAGTATGTGTGGTGTTTCAGACTTTGCAACCCTCAGGCTTTCTCTAAGGTAAATGCTATCCTGTAGATTATTAAAGTAACTAAAGTTAAAAATGGACTCAATTCCCTTATTAGACTCAGCTTCTACAGAGAAGAAATTGGAAAGCTGATCTGTTTTTCTGTAGCTACAAAAACCTATTCATGCAGAATAATAGTATCAAAGAAAGCCCTCAGAGATCTTTTTTCAGATCTGGATATATACTCTTGTTTTAACATAACAGTGTTTAAATTGGGAATATACACTTAAACTAGGCCCAGAAGGATCAGGCTAGATTTGTGGCTATTGGGCTAGGAAAGAATGTACTTGTGTATAAAGGAGTGCAGGCTCTTTTAGATGTGATAAATGCAAATAGAATATACATCACTTTGCAGGCCATAAAATGAGAAGCCCACAAGCTGCCAGATCTCTGCCTCTTGTCTGGATGGTCACAAGCTTGAGTGCCTTTCTGCCAGCCTCAGCCATATGTACCAGGCCCCCCTTGAGCAGAGTATCTGTACAACAGTCATATGACAAATGAACTTTTCATGTCTAATAAGCTATGTATTATCATGTTTGTCCATTTTACTTGGTTCTGATATTCTGAAATCATCTCTAAAGCTGACATACACAACTGGGTGCAGCCTTTTCGACAGCAATCTGATGTGAATAGTTGTTAAATTATTTTTGCTAAAAAAGGAAAGTTAGGTAAAACAAGTTTAAAAAACCATTAAGCTCAATGTGTAAGAATATTCCGCACACGGGTGATTTGGTGATGGGAAACCCGCGGGGATTACAATCGAGATGGGAAAAAAAAATGTACAAAATGATGTAAACATAAACTTTTGTAATAAAAAAAAAAAGAATATTCCTAATCATAAAAATCCAAAAGTAAATGTTCTAGACAAAACAACATTACATTATAAACTTTTGGTCAGTGTAAAAACTGCCCCTAGAACATTTATAAATGTAGCCAAATCAGAGTCAGTGACTCCACTCCTCCTTTTGGGTCCCAGAGTCTTCTGTGGCATCCATGTTTTATCAAAATGAAAGAAATTACCAAAACTTACATATTTAAGAAAGCAATTAATGAGAAATCACCAGTGCCTAGGCATACTCTGTTCATACCTATCAGTCTTGTACCTGCTGCTCATTTTTAAAAAGACTTTTTGTCAATATCTAAGTAGCAGAGTTATCTATACATTCCAGGAAAATGGTAAAAATCATTCTTTAGAATACTCACCAAATATGAGGAATTTTTTATCAGAAGCCAAAAAATAGAACAAAAGAGATAAAGGAAAAAAGTATAATAGTAATACATTTTTATTGGGATTTTTTTTAACAAAATAGTTTTTAAAAACAAAAGCCCCCACATGTAAACAAGAAAGTAAATAAGTTTAGTTGGCATTATTATGTACATCCAAGAATCAAAAAACACATTCTGGGTGAGTATGCCATAATCTAATAAAATGTTTTGATTCATTAATGTTCAGGGAAGCTCTAATACTACTAATTAATGAAATGTAGTTCTTTGAACATAATAAAATGGTTTGTGGATTATATTCTGTCTAGTTCAGCTTTTTGTTTTTCCCACAAATTCATATGCTACATGTATACTAGTTCTAAAATGTATTTGTTGTATTAGCTTAAATCTCAAATTAAGCACACTCTATTATCTGATCTCAGAGTTTTTAATGGTAAGATGTGCTATTATCCATAAAATACACTATCACTTTTCAAAACTAATCTAATTCTATATTCTCTCTCTAACCTGCTATTTCTTCATCTTTCTCTTTCTCTTATTTCTGTATATTAAATAACATAGCAAATTTACCTTAAAAAGTACTGCTTATCTATTAATACACATCTAGGCAGTACTTTCTGACAAGGTTGTAGTTTACCTAACAAGGAAAAATGTTAATTTTTACTTTAAAATTTAGGTTTCATACCATCATTGTAGTGTTATTTAACTGAGAATGATGCTTCATTTTAGTGCTCAATATAATGATAATATACTTGAAGATTAAACAGAGGTTATGATTTATGTAGAGAAAATCACAGTTCTTGGAAGAAAGAGCGAATATCTTGTTTTATTACTATAAAATGTTGTTAATTTAATTTTTGTTATTTGCTAATTCAGTCAGTTTTTGCTAAATATATTCCATTTTACATGCTTTACAAAAGAGAGCCTGGATAATTTTTGTAAGAGGCCTCAATTTTAGTTTAAAATGCAATTCTTTTCTGTCAGTCAAAATAATTTAAGAATGTGCACATTATGTCTGTGCTGTTTAAGGCAAGTGCCAAGCACATTCTGAAAGGTAATAAACTTACCAACTGGAATGTTCTCCCAAAGGAAAAAAGAAAAGCTCATGACAGTTTTTGTTTAAGACAGATGTTTAAATAGCACTCTTCTTTTAGAACATTTAAAAATAATTTGGCAGCTGAACAGCCTATGGTCATAACATACAAGCACCTATAAAGGACAAGCAACAGATACAGAATTAATTTATATACTTTTAATATTTTTACAAGTTTCTCCAAGTCAGTGCCTTGTGGCATTTAACAAGATTTTTGTATTCAATGTAAAAAGATTTAGAACATAAATGACACAAAGTAATGAATATAATTTCTTTAGGCCATGCAGAAAAAGTCAACTTTTTACACATCATCACTCCTAAATAGTTGTAATTAAAATCCAAACTGTTCCCATTTTTGCATCACTGTCATTCTTTGGCAAAGGATTCAAAATAGCCATGGGTTAAGAAACAACTGTTCACTCATGGTCCTCATTTTTTGCAAAAGAAATGTGGTTTGTAAAACAAAAAGAAATCTGCATTGTGCCTGTTTTATACTAAATAATTATACGTAAGCAAAATATGGCTTTTTTGGCTAATCCACCCCTAAAGCTTTGAGCTGTCGTTCAATCTCTTCATCAGAGATAGTAGCCTTTGAAGTAGAGGCAGATGGTAAGCTTCGGGCAGCTGATGGAGCTTTGGCCATCTATGTTAAAGAGAGGAAAAGAAAAAAAGGTACATCAGTATTTTTTTTCTTGTCTTGATTACTCCTATTGTTGTGTCTGCTTCCATGCTGTCTCAGACTCTTTATGTTTATCTATCTTATGCATGTTATTTAATCGTAACTACATGAGTTGCTTCTTAGTTAATGTAAGATATTACACTGGGCTAGAACAATGCTGCAAAAAAGCTTAATTTACAAATATTAAGTTGTGTACCAAACCGCACCGGATGGGTTAATGAACAAAATTGTAGAAACTGTTTCCAAATGAGGAAATATGACGTCCCTACCTTTCCAGAAATTTCAATTCCAATTTCATCGAGAACTTGATTCACAATATCTTGACTTTCTTCTTCATCATCAGAACCATCAAAGATGTCATCAAGTGTGTCATTGACTTGGGGGCAGGGGGGAAAATGGAGTTACTTTCAAACAGAATCTGTTAGACTTACATTTTAGTAGATATACTAAATACTAAATAATATATTGTAAAAGGGCAAAATCAAGAGAACTAACAAACCACAAAGGTCACTTTCAGATATCAGTGAGGTTCATTTTTGAGGCACTAATCAAGTCTAATGCTCATTTCACCGCAAAATAGAATTCTTTTGGGAAAAAGATATGTCATATAAATGTTGAATTTATCTTTAGATGAAAATACTAATGCTAATTCACTTTACTAGCTTTCTGAAAAATGAATAACAATCAATAATTACCGCTATTTTAAAATCACTTGCAAGGTACTAAAATACAAATGGGAACAACTGTGGTGATGTGAATTTAAATACAAGCTTATAGATTCTCTCCATTATAGCTTAATGGAAAAGGCAATTCCTTTGATAAAATCTTCTCACACCTGTGTCATCAAAGGAAACCACATAAACATGCTAGATACTGTGATCATTACACAAATGACAAGTCTCTCAATTATTAACAATTAACTAATGAGGTTTCAAATATATATATGTATGTGTGTGTATATATATACATATATATATACATATATATCTTTCGAAATAAAAAATACATGTTTAAAGTGAAAACTAAAGATTTTCTGAAATTACATCGATATAGTATTAATAAGTTCTAAAAGGATATCAACATTCAGAAATAGTATATTAGAACAATGATGACTTTACTAGTCCTAGTAATTTAATTAGATACTAGTGTTTACATGAAAACCCTTGAATAAAAATACTACTTTACAAGCAGAAACGAACTGATATATCCCTAGAAAGTTGTAAAACAATTAGAAAATATTTTTTGCAAAACAATAATACCAGCTTTGAATCATGGAAGCACTAATTGACCAGGAGTCTGTGAAGGGTCCCTCATTCAGCATTGGTGAAATAGATTGGTATAGTTATTCTGGGGAAAATGTTAGATACTGTGATAGAATGAACCAAGACTTAAAAAAGTAAATAGAGAGTTGAAAAATTGAAAATTTATTGATCAAAGAAAGACTGGTTCAATAAATTAGGGCATATTGATGTTACATAACATTAAAGCCATTAAAAAAAAAACTTTAGATAAGATTAAATTTATATGTATATGCTTTTGTTATACTATTTTTTTTGTCTTGAAAGCACAGTAAGATTCAAAACTGTATATGTAATGTGAATCATACTTGAAATTATGAATACTGTAGGAAGGAATATATATATAGTGTGTGATGTAGAAATAGATGCTTTGGTTTCCTTATAACACATGCAATTAGTCTACAGTCCATATACAAACAGAAGAAAATGAAATATTAAATAACATGTAAAGGGGAAAGAAGAAACAAGTTTCATTATCTCTACCTCTAATATAAATAGACCTCAAGTATGAGATATGAAAAATCAACACGACTTTTAAACAACCTAATTTATACCAGAAAGTTATATAATAGAATGTGTTTTTGTCCAATAATCAGTGAAATTGATTGGGGCCAGTATAGCATAACATATTTTATGTATTTTTTCCTTCAGTTAAACATTAATAGAATTTTTTTTGTCTTCTACATTGCCAATTTAAAAATATATTGAAGCTACAATATGGACATCTATCTAGAAGAATGCTATTATTTCTTGCTTCATTATTTGTGTTTTTATGGACGAGCATATGAGTATGCCAGTTATAAACATAACTCATTCAAAGATGTGACCACTACACATTTCATTAGAAGTTATTGAACTCACTCATTTCTTCAGTCATTTCCATTTTCATATTTTCCTTCTGGAAATTCTGCATAGTTTGTAATGTCTTCTGTGGATCCATCTTCTTATTAACGGCCTGCATTGTCTTTAAATATATGAAAAGATTGATATTAGCTATATAATTATGAAAGGTTTACTATGGAATAAGTCCAAGGGGAACACATCAAATAGAGACAAGTTTAAAAAAGATATACGTGCCTGCCATAATCAAACATATGAGAGTTAAATATTCTAGAAAAGAAATGAAATACTCATTTGGAAGCCATCTGTTTAACATCTATACGATAAAGACCATTGTGAAATGCCTTCTCTAAATAGTAGGCAAAAAACTACATAGTAAACAACATCAACATAAAATTGATTGCTTTTCAAGTGGTAAAACTACAGCTGCCTATTACATGTCAAGCAGGAAATGTCTAAATTATTTTTTTAACTTAAAATTTTGTTTTATTTTTAAATTTCTAACTTTAAAAGAATACACTAACATATAATCTACTTATATTATTTAAACCATGGTTTAAGAAATGAACAAAACAGTTAACTTTGTAAAAATATGGGAAAAGAATTCCCTTAATTATATATTCACAACTTATTTCATTAAGAGATTAACGCTATTGAATACAATCAATACATTTAGTGTGTATAGATGTGTAATTTATATAGTTACTTCAGTATTAATTATATAAATGCTGCAAACATGATGCTGCACTGTCTTTTATCAATCAGTCTGTATGCAATGCTGCAGTCAAAATAACTGTTTCAAGAATGAAACTCCTCACCTCTACTAGCCCACAAAGACCTAATCCTCGAATGGCTTTTCATTGCTCTTAGTATAAAAAGCCAACTTTCATATTTGGTGAGTAAGACCAAACCACGAATTGAGCCTTGCTGGTCTCTGGTCTCATTTTACACCACTGTACTTCAGCCACGCTACTTTTTCATTTCCTTAAGTATCCCAGGCCTTCTCCTGCCACAGGACCTTGGCATATGCATCCCTCACCTGGACTGCTATTCTCATTTTTTTTTTAATCATCACTTCAAATTTTCAGATTTCCATTTATATACCACTTCCTTGAGGATATAACCTCTGACACTCCAAATCAGACTAGGTAGCCTGTTGTTTCCTACTTATTACATATGGAATTTCATATTTGTTAGTGTTAATGACGTTATTTTACTTGCAACTTACATTGTAAATAATAGTAAATATGGGGTTGACAACAACAATGATAAAAGTGAAAATTCCAACTCAGACATCCCTGTATGTCTAGACCACACTAGATACTTTTTCCTAGTCCATAACTTGCATAAAATAGCAAAATATGTAGCCTTCCCCCCTCAAAATAATTAAAAAGTTATCCAGCCAGGTGCATAATCTTCACATATGATTGTGCCCTAAATAAGACACATGTTCAGTTTTCCAGTTTATAGAACCAAAAGAGGAAGACAAGTATTGTCATTGTAAATTCACTGTAAACTGAAAGGCTCTTGATTTTTTTAAAGAACATGTGTCAGTGTCCTGACTGGCACCTGAGATGGACACATTCTATTTTAATATAGTCTACAGTCTTAATAATTACAGTTAATCCTCATTATTTGTGGATTTCACATTGTAAGTCTGCCTGTTTGTTAAAATTTACTTGTAACCTCACATTTCTTTTGTGTTTTTCAAGGAACATGTGAAAAGCAGAAAAAACAAGAGCCTCTTAATAGACACATTTTTAAACTATAAAGAAGGGTGCTTTAAATCCATTTAACACATTTTGGTGCCTTTTGTTAGTGTTCTAGCTACTTAAAATGTCCCCCCAAGCACAGTGCTCAAGTGGCACCTAGTGTTCCTAAGAGCAAGAAGGCTGTGATGTGCCTAATGGAAGAAGGACATTTGTGACATAAGGTTTGTTTAGGCATAAGTGATAGTACTGCTGTCCATGAGTTCAGTGTTAATGAGTCAATGATATATGTAAAGTATGATGTCTTTCAATAGAAGCATACATAAACAACATACAGACTGGTTAACAAAAATGTTGAGTGCAAAGGCTCACAGGAATATAACCATATATTCACCAGAGAGCAGTGGTTTCATGTCCACTAATTCTATGTTCCCAATTTTACAGGACATACTTATCATGAATAAGAAGTGAATTGTTACACCATTTTCCTAACATAAACTTTTTACTTTCTCTGCTCTTTAACATAGTTTATTCTTTTCCTGTTCATAATCATGATCTCTCCCTAAATTTCTGAAACCTAAGTTAACAGAACTCTGCAAAATCTTCAGATCACTCTACTCAGCTGTCAAGGCAGGTGACTGAAGCTCAGCACTTACTGATCTATACTAGCTAGGTCAACAGTCAGATGTAGAGTAGCTTTTATCACCCAAAATGAACTCCAAAATCTTGAAGAGCAGACTTTCTTTTAAACTGCTTTAGTTTCTTCACAGTACTTTATATACATCAATGAGCTCATTATTTATTAAGTAACAGAAACATTCATCATCCTTTAAACTCTATAGTGAAAACACAGATTTCTATTTTGACTACAGACCGACAAAATAGTGGACAAATCCTTCGACAGTGTTTCTGTGTTCCAACACATTCATAAAAAAGAAACTGTTACTGAAAAGTAATCACAATTTACATTTATTGAGATAAGTAGTACCAAAATTTTCTAATAATGTACTGGGGGAGGGAAACCTTTTAAGTCAATTTTAAAAATTTAGAAATTACACGTGACCTTAGGGCAAAGAAAACACCGCAAGACAAGAAATTTTATATATTTAATCAATAAGGAATCTGGAAGCAATATGACTCATTTACCAAATTTACAGATTCTATTATTATATACATTTCAGGTAGTACTTTCAATTCTGATGTGAATACTGACAATTATTCTAGCTAAAACTACATAAATCTATTGATATAAAGGTTCCCACTTACTTTTGCTGTAGTAGACATTGCTCCAGCCATCTTCATTTGGGAATTCATCACTTTTGTTTGTGTGGACATAGAAGTAACCTTTGAACTTACAGCAAAAGTTCTTGTCTTCTGCTTCCGTAGATGTACAAGCTGTTTGGCTAAAACTCTACAAGCTTCTTTATTACCAATCTTAGCCATTTTCTTAATCTCTAATTCCTAAGAGGAGAAATAAAACAATAGAGGGGTAGTCCTGAAATGATTTCTTTCAAAAGAAATTAACATATACCTTTCTTCCTAATCATGAAGAGAAGTTGTCATAAAGTCATACAGTAATTTGAAACAGATTATTTTTGCCTAAATGGGAAGGAAAGAGACAGGAGGGCTTACAAATACAGAAACTTTAGGGGATACTGGATATCTTATCTTGATTGGAGCAGTAATTAAATGTCATACATGTCACCATGTGTCAAATTGTACTAAACAATTTATTGCATAGCAATTACAACCCAATCATGGTGCTTTTGAAAAAAGCTAATTATGACAACACTAATTTCCGACAATTAGGCAACTTACATTTAAAAAGAATATAAAATATTCAGAGATGAACAAGACACTAGGTACTCTACTTTAAAAAAGTACATTCCTGGCCCTCCCTGGTGGTGCAGCGGGTTAAAAGCACAGCACTAAGAGGCTTGAATCACTTCCACATGAGTTCGATCCCCGCCTGCCCAGGAGGTGACCACATGGCGTGGCAGACCTCTCCTGACCCACCCGCTGCTCCTCTCAGCAGTGTACTTCTTTGATCTGCCTGTTCTGCACACCCCACTATGTCTCTGGTGAATCCTCTCACCCTCTGCATCTCTGGCCTGTACCTCAGTTCTGTATGAATAAATAAATAAATCTTAAAAAAAAAAAAAAGTACATTCCTAGTTACAAAAACAAAGGTTATTAACATATCAAGTTAAGACACCTAAGAGTTAACAAAATTATTTCCTTGTAACCCTCTCTTGTTTTCCAGGACTATTTTATTTTTGTTGTTAACTGAAAGAGTGATAGCTCTGTTTTGGCAGTATTTCTAGGCATTCATGACTTAAACAAAGTGAAGAATAATTTGATTTTACAATCAGCAGTGTATACAGGATCTTGATAAAAGTCAGCAGAAAGACACAATAAACAAAGGTAAGCAGAAAAAGCAAGAAGGCATTAAATGCCATATCTTACCACAGTAAATTACTTACCACTTGCCATGTGTCCTTTTCCTAGTTAGCTAATTAACACACCACCAATTTCCAAATTTGTTCAAAAAGTTAAACTGAAATTTAATGTTCAACTTACCAGTTGTTTTTCTTGCTTTTCTAAAGCTGCTCGATCTCTGATTATAGCTCTCTGTGTACCTCGTAACTCTCGATTCTGTTCCTTTATTACATCTATGAGAACAACAAAAGAAATCTAAATGCATGGGTCATAAAATTTTCTTCAATGCCACTAAAATATTGAACTAAGAAACCTCAATTAAAAAAAGAAAACATCTTGATTTACAAAATGTCAAATTTTCTCTCAAATCAACATTCTAAAAATTAGTCAAATATTAAAAAAAAGCATTATAAATATTGACTACACAAATATCACAGGAGTGTAAATATGCTATAGGCTGAGGTTTAACCAAAAATATATTTAAATTACAATAAAATATTCCCTTAGAGAACTGATTACTATACAGTTTTTATATGGTGTGTGTATGGGTGTGTAAGTATATACATACATGTATATATATATATATACATATATATATATAAAACAAAAAAAAACACACACCCTTTCATCTCTCCTTATTTTCTAGTATCTTATAAAATTCCAGAAAGGACAAAATGTCATATTCTTGTTAAATCTTTTTTTTTTAATATCAACAAGTTATAACAGTGGAGAGCAGACCTAGATAATTTCCTTAAAGGATCACAGATATTGATGTTAAATGTTGTCACAATCTCTTTTTGTCTGAAACCTTGCTATGCGTTTTCATATGTCATTACGATATGATGTTCATAATAATACAATAATGTTCATTATCAACTATAATGTATATAATAATAATATACATTTCCTATTATTGTATATATAAGAAAACTGAGTACTGGAAGTTTAAATACCTAGCCCAAGGCTACAAAGGTAGTAAGCAGTAATGCCAGACGGATTTAGGTGTTTGTCCTGAATTAGGAATTGTAATCACTCCACTAACGTACCTTTTTAGTAAATAACAGAGGGAATAGTGCCTGGGACAACTGAGGATCCAAATGAAAAATAATTAAATTGGGCCTTTACCTCACACCATAGATAAAACATACTCAAAAGATGATTAATGAGGTTGTCATAAAACTCTAAGAATACACAGGAGTAAATATGCATAGCTGGGATTTAGCTGTGGATTCTTAGCTATGACACTAAAATCACAAGTAACTAAAGAAACCCAGACAAAGTAGACTTTGTGAAAATTTAAAGACTTCTGTAAATGAAAGGATACTCTTACAATGAAAAAATAAAAGACAAACAAGATCCCCCAAACAAATGAAAGACTTAAAGAGAAACTTCTCCAAAAATATATACAAATGTTCAATAAACACATGAGAAAGGTGTTTAATATTAGCCTTTAAGGAGATGAGACACCACTTCATGTTCACCGAAATACTATAACAAATTTTTTTTTTTAAAGATTTATTTATTTGTGCATACAGAACTGGGGTACAGGCCAGAGGCTCAGGGGCGGTGAGAGGCTTCACCAGAGACAGAGTGGGGAACAGAACAGGCAGATCGACGAAGTACACTGCTGAGGGGAGCAGCAGGCGGGTCAGGAGAGGTCTGCCACGCCGTGTGGTCACCTCCAGGGCAGGTGGGAATCGAACTCATGTGGAAGTGGCTTTAGATTCTCAGTGCTGTGCTTTAACCTGCTGCGCCACCGGGGAGGGCCACAAATTTTTTTTAAAAAGTAAAATAAGGGCTCTCCTTAGTGGCGCAATGGGTTAAATCACTGCATTATGAGGTTCTCGGAAGCCACTGCAGCAAGAGTTCAATCCCCAGCCAAGAAGCTGACCCACATGGCCCGGCAAACAAATCCTGACCTGCCCGCTGCTCCCCTCAGCTGTGTATTTCTGTAGATCTGCCTGCTCTTCTCCCCACTCTGTCTCCGGTGAATCCTCTCACCCACTACACATCTGGCCTGTACCTTAGTTCTGTAATAATAAATCTTTAAAAAAAACTAAAATAAAAAGTATTAATGAGAATGTGGAAACTGGAACTCCTTAGCATTTCTGATAGGGATGCAAATTGTTGAGTCAAAATGGCTAACAGTTTGAGGATTACTCAAAAAAAAGTTAAACGAAATCATGTGATCTAGCAGTTACCCTATAGTATATATAACCAAAAGAATAGGTACTCAAACAAAAACTTGTACACAAATATTCACAAAAGCAACTATTTACATAACCAAAAGTTGGAAACAACCTAAATGTGTATGAAGACATAATTATATAAAATAAGTCATGGTAAATGTGCTTGTGTGCATGTGTGTATTACACATAAAATAGAATAGTATTGCACAGTAAAAAGAAAAAAAATGTTACACTGACACACATTACAACATGGATAAATCTCAAAAGCATTTTTCTAAAAAAAAAAAAGAAAAGAAAAGAAAAGAAGGGTCCATGATCAAAGTAGGGACAAGTTTGACTTCTGCAGTCTCACTGTAGCTTGAAGACAACTCCCTTCTGGCTGCCTTTTCACATGGCCTTTTCTCATGTATGACCATCTCTGGTAAGTCTTAAAAGGCTGCCACTGGATCAGGACCCTACTCTAATGACCACATTAAACATTAATGTCAGTTACCTCTATGAAAGATCCTGTCTCCATTAGCAGGTTTGGACATAAGACATTTGGGGGAACCAAGCTGGTACACAGTACAAGTACTCTTCTCAGACAACTATAGAGTAACACTAGTGACAGCAGTAAAGAAAGTTCTCATTTCAAAGCAATCATATGCCTTTTCATCAACATATCCAATTTCTTTTTAATAATTTTGAAATTATTAAGATTTTAGAATATAATCCTTTTGTGTGCAAAATTTCCCTAAACTCAACTAGTATAAGATGAAGTGTTAATATTAGATCATGGTGATGGTTGTGAAAGCAAGATGGTCTTCTAAAATATAAGAATACTGAGATAAAAGAGAAATAATCACATTGATGAATTATGGTGAGACAGTTGGCAGGCGTAAAGCAACTACTAAGGGCCTTAATTCCTAATATGTACAATTAAGATTTATTTGAAAAATGTGTATTTGGTTTTTATTGAGTTCCTGGCACAGGTTCTTAAAACCCTTCAAATTTTCCTCAGTGACAGGAATGTCTCTTCTGGTTTACAAAGGGATAGGACTGTTTTCCAGAAAGACCAACACTTAGAGTGCTCATTGTTAGCCCCACCTTTTGGCCTCAGGAGAGGAAGAAGGGTTGGAAAGTGGGATATTAGAACTCTTGAAAGGATTAGGAGAGTTCAGAGCTGCTGAATGCAGTAGATAACAGTCTGGAGAGATTAAGGAAACATGTCACCCACACTCCCCCAACCCAATATCTTGCTTCCATTTAAGCTGTGTCCTTGTAGTAAACTGGCGATAGTAAGTAAGGGACTTTCCTCGTCCTGACACTGTGTGGCATTGTGGGTATTGTGACTGTCTCGTAAGTGAGGAGTCTTGTGAGACTGTGGGGCCTGTGTTCACTCCAGAGCCTTAGTGTTAGTCAGTACTGAACTGAATTGTTGGAGACTCCTGTAAGTGTCCGAGAATCGGAAAGACATATAGCCATCTTTGTTGAAAGACAAATATTAAAACAGTAATTTTTAAAAGACATGTAACTTAAAACGGTTCCATTTTTCTTAATTTTATACAACTATGCATATTGTAACTACCTCTGTATATTAGAGAAGGTAAAATAAAGAAAATTAACTACTGTATATTCCACAGCCTCATAGTTGTTAATATTTAAACAGCTCTAAGCTATAAACTGAAAGAATCTACTATTACATATTAAAACACAGTCATAACACTTTAAAACATATTATAAGTAGAAGAGAGTAAAACCCTCTTTTTCATATGGAATGATATATACCACAAAACAAATATATTACTCTGTTTTACAATCTTATACTAAATCCACATTTAATAATTTTCTAGATCATTCTGAATGAACTTCAGACATTTTAAAAATTTATTTTCCATTTATTTCTTACTAGGTCTAATTTCTTCCTAAGATTGCAGGTTTAAGAGCAAGGATTACATGTATTTTATTTAACTATTTTGTTTTCTAGTTTCTTCATGCCAACTACCCCAGTACAGTGTTCTCTCAATACAAATAAGTATTTGTGAGGGAATATAGCCATATGTTTCAAATGAAAAAGTACTTACCTTAAATAATGAAAGTTAATACATTCCTTTAAAAATACTAGAAAATCTACTGGTTATCAAGAAAGTTGGTTGATAATCTAAAAATAGCAAAATGTGAAATAGGATAAAAGTCTTACTTGACTGACTCGATGGAGCATTGAAATAGTCTGATTTTTCCCCTATACTTTTCTGCTTTCTCCTTTTTTATCCTGAGTCAAGACCATGTCAGAGACATGAATGGGCATTGCTATCTAGGAGAGATGATGTTCTTAGTGTTCATTCAGCTACCCTTCCTCCTTGAGACAAAATAGTATGACCTGAATTTTTATACCCCAACACTTCACCTGCTGTGTGGGATTTGCTGTGATGTAATCATAACAGGTGGGAGAAGAACACTATCAAATGGTGAAAACGATAGTGGAACATGGCTAAGAATATGGTAAGCTCTCTGTTAATTGTGACATAAAAGGAAGGTTGCCCCACCCACCATCCTCTGCTTTCCTATATCCAGCACAACACTTACAGAAGCCCATGGAGATCATTGGCGCTCTGATCTTTCAAGGCTCTTCTTAATGAATGAATGAAATGCACATGTTTGTACTACAGTGATAAAGTCACAGATTTAAAATTGGGGACTTAAAATGTAGGCAGAAATAGTATTTGTGTCTTCTAAGTCAATAGGTCTATCTCCTTGAAGGTGGGGTTGGTTGGCGAGTGCCATAATATAAAAAACAAAACAAAAATGGTACTCCCATGTGGTCCAGCCTAGCCCCTTAGAATTTTCTACTGAGACCTGAGGCCAAGCCCCAACTTGAATTATGACTGGACTTCCAGATCCTTCTCATTTACAAATAATTTGCACATTTGAGGATTAAAGCAAAAAGTAATTATCAACTGTAATTATGGTCATTCACTTGCTGTGAGTAATATTGTTTAAAGAGCTTATTTTATTTTATTTTTTTAAGATTTATTTATTTATTCATACAGAACTGGGGTACAGGCAGAGATGTGGAGGGTGAGAGTATTCACCAGGTACAGAGTGGGGAGCAGAACAGGCAGATCTACGAAGTACACTGCTGAGGGGAGCAGCGGGCAGGTCAGGAGAGGTCTGCCACACCATGTGGATCTCCTCAGGGCAGGTGGGATTGAACTCATGCAGAAGTGGCTTTAGCTTCTTAGTGCAGTGCTTTAACCCGCTGCACTACCAGGGAGGGCCAAAAGAGCTTATTTTTTGAAGGAAGAGTCTCAAGCTTACAGGGCAGGTCAGGATTATACCCCAAGAGTGCTGAAATACAACATGCAGAACATACCACTCAGTGGAATTCATAAGGTCTACTAGTTTTGAACCTTCACCAGTACAAGTTTCTGTGCAGAAAACTTCAAAGGGTACTTTACAGCTCAGATAAGTGAGGGAAAGAAAAGGAAAACTACTCAGAAAGAACAATTTCAGACCTATGGACTGAAAGGTAAGAAATGGAGCACGAGAATCAATACCAGTCTCTGGCATGGTAGGTATAGGGAAATAAAGTGGGAAGGCAAAGAGTAAAAAAAAAACTTGAAAAGGGAAGGAAAAGTGGTCAGAAGAATTTGAGAAATTTTCAGTGTTATGCCATGGAAGGGAAATTTCAGTAAGAAATTAGCAGGATCAAAAATAAAACACAACTAAAAACTGGCCATAGGTTTGAAGGATCTAAGAGCCACTGATGAACATGTTTTCCTTATATGACTTGTAAAGCAAACTGCTGTAGAATGAGAGCTTCTAGGCAGTAAAGGACAAAAAAACAACTACTCTTCCTAAAAAAGGCTAGGTGAAGAGAGACTCAGGAAGAGGAGGGTTTCAGTTTTACCACTCTGAGAAGTTCAAGTTCTCCCACAGATTCTGAGACAAAGGAGTCTGTTTCACAGACAAAGGACATACTAAAAGTTGGGAAGTCCATGTATTTAGTATAATAAAAGCAAAATTGTGCTGTGCCATAGGGAATCTATGATAGTAATATTCAAAGGGATGAGGTTCAGGGTCTGTCATGTAGTAGTTGTATGATCATGGGCAAATTATTTAGTCCCTTGCTCTTAATTTCCTCATCGATTAAATGGGGGTAACAACAGTCTTTCTCCTACAGGTTTTGTGAAAATTAAATAAAATACTGACTACAAAAGGCTAACACAATAATACACAGCAGGGACCACAAATTTCTTTATACTGAGGACAGCAGACAAAAATTACATAGTACTTAATGAACTTCAATTTTTAACAGGCATATTTAGTTGTATGACAGGTCTCATGGCATCCTGATTAACAGGTTCAGAACTAGCTTCAATAAGGTTATTATTAGTACCTTAGGGAAAAACACATTCCCTATAGATAAGCACATTTATATATGTATTTGCTACATACAGCTTACAAATCAGCAAAAGGAAAACCAGGTACTCAATTGTAATTTCAAATTCAAAATAATCTTTCTCTTCTACACCATTGAGGTACAATTCTCATTAATTTCTGTAACAAAGTATACACTGCAGAGACTTGTTCATCTTTGTGTCAAAAATGAATTAAACATTATTCTGAATAGTAATAAGTGCTGTAATGTTGTCTCCCTTTGTAATTTACATGTGCAGTAGTCTTTAATGATACAGTATGCAACTCTTCCATCCAATCCAGAGACAAAAAGATTCAATTATTCTTCAGATCTATAAACAGTTCCAGAATTCCATTACATATCAGAACTTCATTACTGGTGAACCAGATATAAAAACAGCATACAGTAAAAGATGCTATGATCAATAACCAACAAGTCCAAAGGTCTGGGAGAAATGCATAAAACTACATTCAATTTCATATTACATAGTCTCATTACAGCTAAGAAGAATGCTGTCACCTTTGCAACAAAACAGCACACCTTCTTTTTAATAAAACAAGAAGTAAAAACATCAGTAAAGCTTTATATCAAGATGATGAAATCCAAAGACTTCCCCTGTCCCCACAGTTCATTCAGTAAAATGTGATTTCTTGGGATGAATTTATCCAACTGAAAATGTGTATAAATTAAGTATCTTCCCTGCACAGACCTCACTGTCTTTTTTTTTTTTCTTCTTTTAGTTCTGCTCTGTACTTCAAGTACATAGTCACTAGATTTTCAAAAGCACCAGGGGGCACAGCAAATGAATACAGAACTGAAAATTTTTGACAGCTATTAAACAACTAAAGCTAGAATGACTGGCATTTAATTAAATTTTGTTTTTAATTTCTAACATTTCAGAAAAAAAAAAGATACAACCCTTTTCCTATGTTAAAAATTTTTTTTCCCTACTTAAAACTGAAAAAATATCCCTTCCTCCACCCCAAAGACTACAAAAACTGAAGATCACAATGTTGATACTGAAACAGAGAAAAAAAAAAAAGTGTTGTGTTAAAGATTAAACAGCATTCTGGAAAAACACACAATACCCATTTCACAAAATTGTATCAGATGCTATACCAACTTGGTAGTTACTCAGGTACCTTAAATGGTACTTCTTAGTTAATAAAAAGTCAAATAAAAAAAACTGTTTTCATCTACTCAGGATAAGCAAAAATATATTACCCTGTGTGATGAAAGAGTGAAGTGGCATTATGTGTTGAAATGAAGGGCAGAGTGGCAGGGAAAAGATGATGTCTTTGTTATCTTCTCCAAAGTAATTTTGTTGGCACTGGGATAGTCAATACAAAGGAATGAAGGAGTTTCCCCAGGTCTGGACTGAGGACCCTGTTTGTACCTATCACTGTCCAACTACCACTCTCCTTTTATGGCAGTCAGACCCTTACAAAGAAGTAATTATTTGAATCAGCAACAACCAAAACTCAACGTTTAATGGGAGACTCGATTTTTAAATAAGTTCAATGAATGATTTCAATTTAAGCAAAATGATTCAATGAAAATATCAAGACTAATTAATGTTCTATAAACATAATAGGTATTGCTCAAAATACAAATCTGTATATTCTGGTGCATTTACTTTTTCTCTTAAAATGGCATTAAATGTCTGAAAGAATGCAAGTATCTTAAAATGAGAACTTTTAGGCAGATCATACTACAAGTCTTACTTCAGACAAGGGGAAAATCCACCATGAAAACTAAATCCAAGTACTTCCCTTGTTTTTTGTTTTTTTTTTTTTAAATTTTTCTACAAACATCAGTCAAGAAGCATGTTTCATATCAACAACGCTGGGGTGTTCTTATGGCACGAGTGACCCAGACAGTAGTTCATTCTGTAACTGGAGCCTGTTATCTCCCCTTCCCCCATCTCAAGACACAAGCTCCCAGGTTTGGATGCTACAAGTATTACAGCTTCAAACTGGAGGCGCAACAAACCAAGCAGAGGAAACCAAGAAGAAATTCACCAAATACCCAAATGAAGAAACAGCAGAATCTTGCTTCCTCGAAATGCTTAGTATCCCATTAAAGAAAAAAGACGAGGGATTGGGTGGGGAAGGGGAGCTGTGTTATTAGAAGCAGCAAGATTATCCCAAGTGAGACTGAGGTGATGATAGAAGAGAAGGGGAGGCAGTAAAGTGACGCACGAGGGCGGTCACCTGTGGGGCCACTGGATCCAGCCCCGCCCCCAGGGCAGCAGTAAAAACAGTGGCCGGAAACCCCCCAAAAACACGCCAGGGAAAGGCAGAGCAGGGCCCCGTTGGCCCGATCGGGAACTCACCATCCACAGTTTTCTTCTTGAAGAGGGACGCCATGGTTTGAGACCGCGCCCGGGAGCCTGGGCTCGGCCCGGTCCGGCCCGCGATTGGGAAAGGACAAGTGGGAAAGACAGACCCTTGGAGGGCTCCGGGTGGCGGGGCGGCTACGAAGGAAAAAGTATCAGGCTCTTCAGGAAGGGCCCACGGAGGGCGGGTATCCGGGAAGTCGATCGCAGCAGAGTCGCCAGTGGCTCAGGTGACCGCGAACTAAGACACTTTTTGGAGAAGTCACTTCTAGGCGGCGCCTGCGCGGGTGATGCGCGCCTGCGCACTGCGGCCCCCGAAGCCGCGCCGCTGCCCTCACCTCAGCTGCTGCCCACTCCTCCCGCTTTCGGGGTCGCTGTGAGAGGAGTCAGGCTGGGGCGTAGGAGTCGGGGACTCTGTGTGAGGCTTGGCTGCTGAATGCGGACGGAGATGAGCCCTGCTTAGCCTTTTCTTCCTTGCTCCAGGTGAAGGGGTAAGGAGGAAGAAGGGTTCCCCAGAGTCTTAGCACAAGTGTGGGTCTTCCCGTAACCAATTGATTAACGACCACCTAGTTGCTGGCAGTAGGACTTTCTTCTGTGCAGGGACTAGTGGGAACGCGGGCCAGGTCCCGGTGGTGTTTGTCTGCAGAGTTCATGCCCTTTTTCTTCCTGACTTGCTCAGTGATCCCCTGGCGCCCACTTGCGACGCCGCAAGTCACGTCACGGTCACCTACCTTTTGGGCCCTGGTGTGGGGCTCCGGGGTTCCAGATTCAAGGCTCGGAGGTTGCAGTGGGAGAAAGGAAATAGGGAGCAGCTATCTTCCCACCTCACCCTACCCCCGCCCCCACCCTTGGGGCTACTTTCTTAATGCAAAGCTTTATATTTTCTGTCTTGGGCTGGAAACATAAGAGAAAAAAAAATTACACATGTTGGTAAATCTGTTTAAATGTTATCAATTTGATTTCTTTAAAGCCGTGTTTTTCTTGTCATTACTCAAGAAAAAGTCCATGGCTGTATTATGACCCTATTAGAATGTAGCATAGTTGTATATTAGTGTTTAATGTCATGTGTATCATGTTAAAGGAAACATTTAATGAATTATTTAAAGAGTGTGTGTATAAACATAAATAATGGAAATTTTAATCTGTGCATTAGTTCCTGAACATCATTTTGAGAGAGTATGTGTACCCCATCTCTCTAATATATTACTTCAAATCTTAAGTTTGCTTTGCACTTCTTTCCTCACAAACTGTTACCACTTCCACGGGATAGGAAGTCTTACACACTCCCACCCCCATGAACATATTTGCAAAGATAGACACTCCAACAATACTCTATTATTCGTCACCTCTGACTTCATGAATTTATGTCTCAAGGCTTTTTAAATACTTAACTTCCCTTATCCATTTTCCCTTTATCAAAAATCACAGCCTTCAGGGCCACTGATCATCCTGCTGTTGCTACTAAAATTTAGTTAATGGTGTACCAGTGAAAACTTCCTCTGAATGATATAGTAATGTGTGTAATTACAATCCAATGTGTAATTGTCTTACTCTTTCACAAATTATTCTAGATATTGAGGCAAGGTAAGATAAGGGACCAGAAAAATAAAAGTAAATAAGAAATACAGCCTCTCAACAGGCCTGATCTTTTCTGGAGTAAATTTTATAGCAAAAAGGCAGTTCACCCTGGCTGCCTGTTGTAATGATGGCATTGAGCTGTGCTTGAATGCATGAGAGGCAATAAGCTGTTATGTGAGTAGTAATCTTACTCCTCCCTGCTGCAGTCACCCTTGTTTTATTACTCCTACACAATCCCCCCTACTGACCCAATTGTAACAGTTGGGAAAATGCCAGAATACTTAGCAGCAACCATATGGAAGACCCTCCAAAAGTGCACAGCAGGAGCTAAAGACAGGACTTGTTCATTACAATAAAGACAAAATAGAAATGTGTAGTATTTAAACTCAGCACTGTAATAGCTTAATTATTTCATAGTTTGAAGCAGGCTGATTTTCAGTTGATAGGCACTGGGTGAGTGGTGTTCATTTTGATCATTTGGTGGCCAAACTGTACTGGCACCGGGCATTCCACTTAAATATAACTGAGATTTAAGTCATGAAAAAACCAAACCCTAGAATACAACAGTATTTTCCATTTGTTTAATATCACCATCTCATACAAATTAGTTGAATCAAGATATATATATATATATATGTATGTATAAGCATATATAAAATATTTTAGATGTTACTGCTTTGGAATCATATTAAGTCATAATAGCATACCCTATGGTCACATCATTATGATTCAATATTCTTCTTCCTAACTGTTCAGATAGTGAAAAACATTTATTAGATGCCCAGGGACATGTACCTTGGTATGTACTAGTAATGTACCAGTGAAGAAACACAGTTGCTTCCTCTTTTTTTACCTACATCCTAACACATTTTTAAACTTATTCTTATGTTTTAGTTACAATTTTGACACCAATTCGATGTGTATTTATCCCACAAACCAAGTAATTTTCTCATACCAACTCAGTTCTCTCAGTTCAATTCTGAAACCATCTACCTAAAATAGCAATAGATTCCACAGATTAAAGCCTCAGTGCCAGAAGACTGCCCAGATTTCAGATGCCAATTACAAGACCAGGGCGTTACTTGTGTTGTGATTTGACAAAGATAGCTCTAGCTCTGATTTTCAGTTAGGTTCACTCAACCCCCTCCTCAGGGTTGATCAATTTACCAGAGCAGCTCATACCTCTGGAAATCATTTTACAAGTATGTTACCCTTTTGTTGATAGGATTTTAAAGGAAACAAAGGAACAGAAGCTAATAAAGGTACATAATGCCAGGTTCTGTGTGCAGAAGTTTCTGTCCTTACGGAGTTGAGGGCCCAGAACTAGGGGAAATTGAAAAAGAATTGATATACCTCACCACTGCATAATTTAAGGCTCAAAGCATGACAGTCTGATTTACATATATGAAATGTGAAATGCTGACCACAATATGTTGAATTAATATCCATCTTCTATAGATAAATTGTTTTGTGGTGATGAGAACTTGTAGGATTTACATTCTGAACTATCATATTACTGCAGTATTAGCTACAGTATAGTGGTCAGGTACATTCTAAGTATTTGTCTTGGAAGTTTATATTGTAGAAAGCTTACAAGGGTAGTCACATTTTGAAATGCAGAGGGAAACACTACAGTAGAAAAATCTATTATTTTTCTTGTATTATCTTTGCTTTTTTTTTTTTTTAGCAATACTATATATGTTTGAAAGTTGTGAAGAGAGTACATTTTAGAAGTTTACATCACAAGGGAAAAAAAAAATCAGTATTGTGCATATATCTTTGTAGTGTATCCAGATTGTTGTTTTAAGAACCACTCAAACAGTTGTTTGAGAAGTCATACTGATCACAAGTACTGATAGTACTGATGGTTAAGAACTTTTTCCAAGAGAACAGAATCAGTAATCAATTATGTATAGCCAAGAAGAGTTGAACTTAATACTAAACTAAAGAGTTAATACTAATTGACTCTTTCCTTTAACCACTTGTCTCATCTTCCTCTTTTCTTCTCATAAAACCCCCAGATGTTTGTCCCTCCTGAGTCCTGGGTTTGATTACTACCTGAATCAGTGTATCCAGAATTGCAGTTTCTTGATTCTTCAGTGAATGTTCTTTATCTTTTTTTTTTAAATTTATTTATTTATGCATACAGAATTGGGGTACAGGCCAAAGGTGCAGGGGTGGTGAGAGGATTCACCAGAGGAAGAGTGGGGAGCAGAACAGGTTGACTGATGAAGTACACTGCTGAGGGGAACAGCGGGTGGGTCAGGAGAGGTCTGCTGCCCCACGTGGTCACCTCTGGGGCTGGGGATCGAACTCATGCCACAGTGGCTTTAGCTTCTTAGTGCTGTGCTTTAACCCATTGTGTCACCAGGGAGGGCCGAATGTTCTTTATTTTTTAATGGACTTTATATAAATTTCTGGATTAATGATACCTTTTAACCATCTTCCTCCAGTTATCCCTTTCCCTACCCTCTGTCAGGTAATCACAACTCTGATATGTTTTCTATTAGTTTCAGGACTTGGCTTTGTTCTATTTTTAGAACATAATTTGTTCACATAATCCTTCAAAGTTCATCCATGATATCACAAATGGTAGGGTTTCATTTTTATGGCTGAATACTATTCAGTGTATGTGTGTGTTTGTGTCTGTGTGTGCTTGCCACAACTTCTGTAGCCATTTATCCATCCATAGACACTTAGACTGTTTCCATAGCTTGGCTATTGCAGATAATGCTGCTATGAACCTGGGGGGATTAGATATCTTTTTCAGTTTGTATCCTGTTTTCCCCTTGAGTATATCCCAAGAGGTGAAATTCCTGGATCATGCGTTAGTGCTATTTTTTTTTTTTTTAAAGATTTATTTATTTGTACATACAGAACTGGGGTACAGGCCAGAAGCTCAGGGGCGGCGAGAGGCTTCACCAGAGACAGAGTGGGGAACAGAACAGGCAGATCGATGAAGTACACTGCTGAGGGGAGCAGCGGGCGGGTCAGGAGAGGTCTGCCACGCCATGTGGTCACCTCCAGGGCAGGCGGGAATCGAACTCATGCGGAAGCGGTTTTAGATTCTCAGTGCTGTGCTTTAACCCGCTGCGCCACCAGGGAGGGCTGTTAGTGCTATTTTTAAGTCCACCATTCTGTTTTCCATAATGGCTGGTTTAACTTACAATTCTAAAAATGAACAAGGATTCCCTTTTGTTCCACCCCCATGCCAGTATTTGTTAACTCCTGTCTTTTTGATGATTGCTATTTATATCAAGGAGCTTTATTCATATATTTTCTGTTAGAAGTTTCAGGGTTTTATTTCTTCCTTTTAAATTTTTATGGAAGCTTTATTGCATACAAAATTGATTAAATCTATGGTCAGTGGTGATTAGACTCAACCTCCAGTCTCTCTTCTCAGTCCAGAAGTCTGAGATGGGGACTCAAGTGTGGGATTTTAAGTTCTAACACATTAACAATACAGTTGATTCTCATGATGACTAGCTGCTATCCTTTGATGCTTTACATAAGTCATTTTACGTTTTATGAAAATCTACTTGGCCATTAAAAAGATTATCTTGGCATTGAGATAACATAGATGAAATTGGAGAAGATTATGCGAAGTGAAATAAGACAGGAGAAAGTCAAACACTGGATGGTGTCATTTGTGGAATATAAAGAGAGAAAACAAAGGCCCAGATAAAACCAATTCATTAACATA